CCCGAGGGCCGCGGAGACGGCCGCTGCGAGCGCTACCTCCTGGAGGCGGCCAACACGAGCGCCGGCGCCGCGCCCGCTGCGCTCAGCTGTGCCGACCCCCTCGCCGCCTTCCCCAACCGCTCGGCGCCCCTCGTGCCCTGCCGCGGCGGCTGGCGCTACGCACAGTCCCACGCCACCATCATCAGCGAGGTAAGGCCCCGCGCCGCTCCCGCCGGGGAGAAGGGCGAGGAGTCAGCACCTGGGGAGGTCTGCGGAGAAGGGGACTTGCTGGGCACCTTGGAGACGGCCAGCGTGAATGCCGGGCTCCGAAGGGCGGCGGGCGAGATGCTGTTCTTTTCTTTTGCAAAGCTAGCGAGCTCACGGGGAGGTGCTCGGGTTTCAGGTGGGAACGAAGTCTCTTCCATAAAATTCCAAGTTCAAGGCTGCTTCATGCATCCCTTCCCAGGAATCACCAACGCGCTCAGCGCTACCTCGTCGCTCTGGGCTCTGTTTGGGCGGTGGTTGAACTTGGAAATGCTGCTAGACTCACTGGAGGGAACGCAGAGGTCTGGGACGAGCCTCGTGTCTCCAGAGGGCAAAGAAGGGAGAACTCAGCCTTTGAAGGCGGCATGACTTTTTCCGTTGCCTGAATGACCCGTCCAAAATGCAGGCGGACAAAGGCCGAGGCTCTCCTGGGGAACGATTTTGGTACAACCGCTTTGGGACAAAGAGCAACATCCGAGGGACGCTGGGATAGCGGAGGCATCGGAACGAGTTTTCATTTCCTCCCGCCGAGAAATCTCAGGGACACCGCGGGAGGGACTACAGGTCCGCGGCCTTACGGAGTGCACCCCAGTGAATTGGCAGGCGGTGGACAGTTGGGGCGGGGTGGGAAGAGTCCCACTTTTTGTTGGGTATCTTTGGGCAAGCAGTGCATTTTGGGAGTTGGTGGTTCCTGGTCACCCCATCACTTTTGGTGGGCGGGACTGTTTCTGCCCTTCTCAGGGGGTGGTAGTGTGTGCTTTTGAGTTCCGACAATGGAGCGCAGATACTTTGTAATAATTAACCCAGAAATGGATTCCGATGGACAGGGGTCACAGGGGTGAGCCTTTCCGTTGAACTGAAACCATCGTCCAATTTAAATAAATAAATAAATAATTGAATGTCATCAGGTAAATTGAGCAAGAAAAATGTTGTCTTAACATTTATCGTCATAACCCACGTTTTTAGAGCAACTAATACCTGCAATCCTTACAGAAACAATAGAAGACAGACACAGAGTAATTCCTCACAGACACTCAGACATTATGGGAGAGAGATCCAATAGACAAAATAATAATAATAATAATAATAATTAAACAATAAGAGGAAAAAAAAAATCAGTGGTATTAAAGGAAGAAGTCCTATCTGCACTGAAGGAATTGGCAAAAAAGAAAAAAAAATCACAGCGACCCCGAGTGTTTCAGAGTAGAATAGTGTTCCACAGGGTTTCAAACGGCTGGGCTTCGGGAAGGACAAGGGGACCTTAGACATACTGCAGGTCAGTGCCAGACCACTGCAGTAAAGCAAATACCACAATAGAGTGAGTCACATGAATTTTTGGTTTCCCAGTACACACACAAGTTATATTTACACTGTACTGGAGTCTGTTAATAAGGTGCTCTGGTGGTATAGTGGGTAAAGCATTTGCCTGCTAACTAGAAGGTGGTTCAAACCCACCAGCTGCTCATGGAAGGAAGATGAGGCAGTCTACTTCCAAAAAGATTTACAGCCTTGGAAACCAACCCAATGTGGGTCACTATGAGTCGGAGTCGACTCAAAGGCAGTGGGTTTGGTTGATTTTTGGTGTTTAGAGTCCATTAAGTGTGCAACAAAATCATGAAAAAGTTTGAAATATTGTGTGAATGACCAAAATGTGACACAGAGATGTGAAACATGTGCTGTTGGAAAAATGGCGCCGGTAGACCTGTCAAAATCTTCAATTTGTTAAAAGCAATAAAACGGGGTACGCTAGAGCTCCCCAGGCCCTTCTTCCAAAACACTGCAGCAGGAGTCAGGGTGCCTTTTCTGCTACCTTAATGGTGTTCTGGGGCCTGATGCGGTCATCTCTCTTGAGCTGGATTTTAGGTCTTTGAGGTGTGGACTGTTCCCAGGGCCACACGTAGGTGTGTCAGTACAGTAGGCATGGTCGGTCTTACATTAAGCGCCTGGGAGGTGACTCACACAGCAGCCCCAGCGAGACGACATGTGAGTGTATCTGGGGTCTTTGATGTCTGTGTAATCCCCAGGTGCTACTGGGTACTGCCTCGTAAACTGCTGTGGTCTCACCGTCAGGACTCCGCAGGTGAAGTGGGTAAGGTATGGACTAGGAAGAGTGCCTCGTCACCCGTCCTTCCCTGGAGGACCATTCCATGCAGCAGGGCTGCTCAGGCCACTTCCCAAGTGAGCCAACAGACCCCGATATTTGAAGACCTTTCAACATCAAACGAAGGATAAAATGAGCCTTAGAAAGCAAGATGTACACAAACTTGAGTGGGGTTTGCTGAGTGAACATGACCAGTGACATCAAAGAAAAACCAAACCAAACTCACTGCCATCGAATCGATTCCAACTCACAGCCACTGGAGCTCCTTGACGTCAAAGAAAAGAGACTGAAAAGCAGTAGGGTCACATCCAGACAGATTCTGTAAGAGCGCAGCCCTCTGGGGTTATTTTCTGGGGGATGGGTGGTCTTATGAGAGGCAGGAGCTCCTCAAAGACAACGTGGGGTGGTGGGAAGTCAGAGACCTGGGCTCGGGCACTTTCTCCAATGAACTCAGCTTTCTCATCTGTGAATTAAGGGCTTAGATGAGCCCTCTGTAGCCTTACCAGTGCCACCAGTGTCCTCACCGGTGACAGCACTGACATAGCCGGCTGTCCGGTGTGCTCAGAACTGTGACCGCAAACCATCTAGGGAAAGGGTCGCAACATCCAAGTGCCCCACTCACAGGCAGGCTTGTCAGGCACATCGGAGACCTGTTCATCCCAAATAGCTTACTTCTTTTGATTTTCTGTGCCTCCTGATTTGATTCTTAAGACGATCCATTCAGGAATCGATTTCCATCTAGTCAGGAATTGCAGCCTCCAAAACAACCTATTCTCTCTCAGAGTTCGGTGGGGCTAGTACCTTGCTAGAAGCTCTGGAGGCACAATGGTTAAAGCATTCAGCTGCTAACCGAAAGGTCAGCTGTTCAAATCCGCCAGGCACTCAGTGGGAGAAAGATGAGGCAGTTTGCTTCCGTAAAGATTTACAGCTTTGGAAACCCTTTGGGGGCAGTTCTACTCTGTCCTATAGGGCACGATGAGTAGGAATTAACTCGATGACTGGATTTATTATTATTATTGTTATTATCTTGCTGTCTTTGGTTTTGAATAGATCTAAATAGTTTTCACTCTTACAAATTGTCAGGGATTAAAGCAGCCATAGCTGTGTCTTCAGCTAGCACTGTGTGCCCAGTGTATGTTTATAGACTTGACATCTGACATATGAATCATAGGAGAGGATGTATTGGGAGAGTTTAAAAGGTGGAAGGGCTGCCCAGATTCCAGAGTGCCTCCACAGGACTGACTTCATCCTTGCGCCATTGTCCTGGCCGCGGAGAGGCAGAACTGGAAGCTAGAGGGGTTCAACTGCTCGTATGCAGCCGAGGAAGATTCAGACCAAGGGTCTTCACTGCAAATTGGCAGGTCCACCAGTGACACCACGTGACACCCATGGGATCACATTTCAAAGCCTACCGGGCACCTTGCTAAAGCTCTGCATTCATTTTGCTTCTGTCCTGCTTCTCTGGCAACATGTCAGTCTAGTCCATTTCACCGGCTCAGGGCCCACAGTCTGGAGGTGGAGAGCCTGGACCTTGGCTCAGTGGGAGTGGTCCTCTGTTCTCTGATGTGAGGGGAGCCCATTAGTCCCTTAAGCCCCGCCCACCCCCATTGCCTCTTACACAGCTGCACTGATCCAAGGACTTAAGTCGAAGCAAAGGCTGAGTGCTGAGAGCTTATTGGCAGGGTGGTGTCCATCCAATGCCCCCACATGCTTTTTCTTAGTTCTTTCCTTCTGAGGCAGTGGATTTTTCACCTGCATTTAACTTCTTCAATGTAGACTTTATGCATTTCTTTGCAATCTCAGCCTTATACGGTCCAGACATTTAGGCAGACTCAGGCAGGACCTAATGCAGAGACATAAGTCACAGCCCCCACCCCCAAGTATCTCAATAGTTCAGACATTGCCACTTGCCCCAGGAAAGGTCTTTAAAATTGATGCTAGGGCTTTTAAAGGCTGATAGTGTGTGAAAGGGAAAAAAAAAAAAAAAAAAAAAAGGGCCTCTTTCCAGTTCTCATAAGGAACCTTTAAAAATAGACCGAATCGCCCTTGTTTTTCTTCCCAAATCATTTTTCTCCCAGAATAAAAGGAAAGGCAGTTTGAAGGATGTAGCTGCCCCGCTGAGGAGAGTGGCAACTGATTTGTTCCCAAGGTTGTCTGCAAGCTTCATGTTTCTCTGCTGCTTCCTGCAAAGCCATTCCAAGACACACAGACAACCCGTGGGCAACCCACGGACACGCGGGCCACCATCACCCTGGCCCAGGCCATGGAGTCAGCCCGCACATGCGCTGTGTAGATACTAGAGAACAGTGTTGAACACCTCCCGTTTCCAGGCTGGACTGAACTTCTGATTTGCTGTGCGCCCTGAGGAAAGGTCTTACTTCCGTGTTGCTTTTATCTCTAAAATCCTTTATCTGCACCTTCACTCTTTCGGGTGGTGCAGATGGTCAACGTGCTCAGCTGCTCACTGGAAGGTTGGAGGTTCAAGTCTAGCCAAAGGCACCTCACAGGAAAGCCCTGGTGATCTGTTTGTGAAAAACCATCCACTGTAAACCCTCTGGGGCACGGTTCTGCTCTGACCCACGCGGGGGCAGGCACCTGAGCTGCAGTTGGCTCAACAACAAGTGATTTCGGGTTCCTCTGCTCTGCACCAATTTCACCTGAGGAATATCTGTTGTATCACTGCCCTGAAGAACAGCTACGCCATTGTTTGTTTTATATGCCATTATTATTTGTTCTTGTTTTTTAAGGTTATTTTTGCTGTGCTTTTCCCAGTGCTTTTTGTGAGCATTTTAATTGGATGCTTAGCTCAATTATTTCCAGCCTTCTTTTCTAGATAATCCTTAAA